ACGTGGCCATTTCTGGATGGAGAATAGCTTTTCTAGGTCAGCTTGCACTCCATTGGCCGAGATGATGTGGCCTAGGTAGCCGATGGTGTCAACAGCAAAGGTACACTTGGAGCTTTTCGCATAGAAACTGTGTTGGGCGAGCTTGATGAACACCTGTTGTAGATGCTGCTAATGGTGATCTAAGGAGGAGCTATAGACTAGAATGTCATCGAAAAACACAAGTACGTAACGACGTAAAGCATCACGGAATAATTCGTTCATGGTTGCTTGGAAGGTGGATGGGGGCATTGGAGAGGCCGAAGGGCATTACGAGAAACTCGTAATGACCATCAATGGTTCGAAACGCTATCTTGTGTGTGTCTCCGGAGGCAACCCGTATTTGGTGATATCCCACGCGTAGATCGATTTTAGAGAATACTGAAGCACCATGAAGTTCATCTACTGTGGGAATTGGAAAGCGATCCTTGATGGTGATAGCATTGAGTGCCCGGTAATCGACGCAAAACCTCCAGGTTCCATCTTTTTTGCGAACTAATAGTACCGGGGATGAGTATGGACTCTGGCTTGGTTTGATCACACCATCCGTGAGCATTTCTTTGATGAGAGTGGTCATGATCTGCTTCTGGTAATATGGGTATCGATATGGCTTAACGTTGACAGGTGGGGAGTTGGGAAGGATAGGAATATGGTGGTCGTTTGTGCGTGAGGGAGGCAGGGAAGTGGGTACTGCAAAGATTTGTTGATAAGTCTGAAGTAGGGCAGCAATAGTGGCGTTAGGGTGGGTTTGTGCAGCCGGTTGCGATTCCGATTGAGATGGTTCAAAGTGAAAATACAAGGTGTGCAAGGAGGCTACGCTCTGTTTTTGTAATAAGCCTTGGATGGTAGATGGGGAAGCTGGACTGGAGATGGGCTCTCCTTTAAGAGTAATTACGGATGGGCCATGGTTGAAGGTAATTTGAGGTATCGAGAAGTCTGCCAAAATTGGGCCTAGGGTACGAAGCCAGGCTAAACCCAAAATAATATCTGCCCCTTCAACAGGTATTACAAAAAAAGGAATGGTAAATAGGGTTTTGTGTAAATAAATGGGTAAATTAGGGCATATACTATCGCAGTGGAGAAAGGCGCCACTGCCCACCATTACTGGGAACGACGCAATAGCAGCAGGTGTTAAGTTCATAGCTTGCACGACACGGGGCTGAATGATGTTGTGAGTACTGCCGGAGTCGATGAGTACTGTGACTGGGTGATTGTTGATATAGCCCGTGACATGTAGTGCTTGTGGTGAATCGATCCCATAAAAGGCAGCAGTCGATAAGGAGAGTAAGTGTGGCATTACGCTTGTTGGCGAAGTCTCCTCGGTGGCGACGGAAAGAAGTTCTGGAAGTGACTCGTCGTCGTTATCCACAATCATGAGAAACTGAGGTGGGTTACATGTATGCCCAGGACTGTATTTTTCGGGGCACTTGAAGCACAATCCTTCGGAACGTCTTTTTTGGAGAGCTTCAGGAGATAGACGGGTGAATGGAAGGGGTTTTTTTTGTGGGGGAGTAGGAAGCAAAGGTGGCAGATTGGTGGGTTTGAGTGGGGTAGTTGACAGTGTGGTGTGTGGAGACGAGTATGAAGATCTATTGGATGTGTAACGAGGTTTAGGACTGGTGAGTTTGTCTTCTATGAGTTTGGCGAGGCCATAGGTTTGGTGAAGTGTAGTGGGGTGCTGGATGGCTATTTCGGTTTAGATGTCTTCACGGAGGCCTGAGATAAAACAATTACGGAGGGCTACCGGTGTTAGCCCATCAACACAGTTACTAAGCTTCTCGAACTCAGCTTGATAGGCTGCAACTGTGGTTGTCTGTTGTAGCTTGAAAAGGGTAGCTTGGTGATTTTCATACGATGATGGACCAAAGCGGAGTTCCAGTGCGCGACACAATTCTGCCCACGTGGTTAGCAAGTGGTTGGTAGCAAGGTGTTTGTACCAACTTAACGCCTCTCCTGTGAAATAGAAAACAGCTAATGGAAGGCGTTGATTATGAGGCATATTATAATAATCAAAGTAATTGTTAGCTTGGAAGATCCAATCTAACGGGTTGGAGCCGTCGAAATTTGGCAAGATAATCTTTGGGGGTCGGGTTGTTGAGGTGGTAGCGGGGGTGGGGGTGGAGGGGTTGGAGGCAGCGGAGGTGGCGGTGGGGGTGGGGGTGGGTTCTAAATGGTGAGGAGGTTGATTAGTTGGTCTAGTTTGGCATTGGTTGTAGTGGAGAGGTGAGTGATTTGGAGAATGTTCTCCTGTAGGAGAGTTAAGGGGTTGTCTTTTGGTTGGCTACTACTCTCTTCTTTAGGAGGCATGGGAACGGCTGGATGAAAGCACCAAATGATAGCAGCCTGTTAGAGAAGGCGAATCTCCCAAGAAAGAAACAGAGGATGGAGCAATTTTCTGAGTTTTTATATTCATACCAAAAGAAGGAAAATTACATCTGCTTAAATAAGCTGCTAACTATCTAGAAACTAGGAATGGGAAATGGTCAAAAGACCTTATGCATGCATCTAAACGTGGCCTAATACCTTGCAACTACAGCTGAAAATAAGGAAAGACTTAATCAACCAAGACTTCTTCTCATGTACTGCTTTAGTCCATTAACCTAGCAGGTTTTCGGGTGGTTCTCTTGGGCCTGTGCTGGACTCCTGTTGGTTTGTTGTTGTTTGGGCTTGCATCACAATACACGTTGTATCCACAAATCATTAGGGGTAAAATGGTCTTTCCATCTTGCTATGATAGGGGCAATTTGGTATGTTTATATCATGCGATGTCGGGGGCAATTTCCTTACATTGTTTGTGGTTATGAACTTAAATTAATTGTTTTCAAGTTTTTGTTTAAATTTGGGTTTTTGTCGCAAATTATTTCAAAGTTTTTGAGCTTAATTTTCAGGAAAAAAAAAAGTTGTAAAAAAAGATGTAAAAAGTAGACATTTTTTTAATCAATCAAATATGATTTTTTTTAGTTTAAAAGTTAATATATCTTAGCTATCGTCATACAACGAATGAGAAGACAAACAGACAAGTTGTGTCCTTAAGTCTTTTTGTATGGTAAAGTCAATTTTCTTGAAGACTACATCCATAGATATAGGGAAATAACATAGTTATGCATGATTTGTTGTACTCTACTAAGGAACTCCACTACATCAGGCGTAAGGAAACCAAACGTATTAAATGTAAATGATATGAACACATGTTGATTTTCTATGCACGATTTCTCATGTTTGGTGATCTTGCGTATAGCAACTTTTAATGCAGCATGTCCCGCCGTGAAACCCCAAAACCTTTAACCTATAAGAGGGGATACCCCTATAAGGTCCACACATGCATGTTTTCCTCCAAGCCATCCAAAAATCAAAACGTCAGCCAGTCTAAGGGCTAACCTTCCTTTTGTTGAGTCAGTCAGGAAATTCATAAGAGTCTCTTTTTTGGTAGAAACCCCGACACGCTTACATATATCGACCAAAACATCCCTAACCATATCGTACCTGTATTTGAACCCCGTGGGTTCGTTGCAATAAATTGAATACTCTCCAAAAGAGTCCAAACATGCCTTGCCGCACACTGAAAATATTGGAATCATGAGTCGATATTTGAAGATGGTACGATACTCCACATGAGACATATGTTGGTCAAACCCATCTATAGACATAACTAAAAAATCTTGAGCATGCAGTGCACATAAAATTGAAAAACTGCTTTCTGCTGAGTCGTCATGTTGTAATGCACTTTCATATCTTGGACAATTTTACTAAAAACGTAGAAATGCACTTTCATATATTTGACAACTTTCTTGGATCTATTGGCGATTGGTTTTCGGTGATACAATTTTACCAGTCCTATTATTTTTCGTGCATTCAAAATTGATTATCACTGAACAGGTAAGGTCATTCGGGTTAAAATGTTGAAATGCCATTTCATATCTTATGACAATTTTACTAAAAATGTTGAAATGCATATATCGGACAATTTTACTAAAAATGTTAAAATGCACTTTCATATGTTGGACAACTTTCTTGGATCCATTTGCTACTGACAAGGGTAAGCTTAGGGGGTGTTTGGGATTGCTTATAAAAAAAGCTTATTAGCTTATTTGCTTATCTAATAAACAAATAAGTTGAAAATGTGTTTGGGTAAATAAAAAGTACTTTTAAAAAAGGTTTTTTTTGGTAAAGGAGAATAAACAGTTTTTAAAAAGCAAGAGAATCGTGGCTTTTTAGGGCTTATTGATTTTTTAGCTTTTATCATCTTAAAAACCAATCTAAACATATTTTTAAAACGAGAAATTAAATTGCCTCCTACCTTTTATTCCTACAATTATTCATACCTACTAAAATTATGACAAATCACCATTCAATTTAATTGTATTTGATATATTCCTAATATAGTCTTAATGATTTAGTTTAAAAAATATGGAAAGATGACACTTATCTTAATTTTATTGGATATAAATATTTGTAGACATAAAAAATAAAAATCAATTTAATTTATCTTTTAAAACTGCTTTTAGAAAAAAACCATAAACCAATATGCACTTTTCTATAAAAAAGAAACACCCTCTTAGTTGGCTAATAAGAAGATTTATAATCTAACAATCGTGGAGTTACTGAGTTTAAAAAAGGGAAAATGACTTATGAAGGTAAGTAACTATTTCGATTGTCCACATATAGGTAATATTATTTTTTTTGTTCTCATTAATGGAACAAACTTGTTAGTTTTGTTCATATTAAGGTAATATCACCGGCTATTACCTGTTTTTGCCCGTTTTAACCGGTTGCATCGTTTTTACTCAGTGTTACTCATTTAAAACTAATTACGTGGATTCTTACGTGGCCATTACTCCCCTCTCTCATTTAATTAGGGTTCTATACGTTCAATTTCAACATAATCACCTCCCGATTGTAGATTCGATCCACCTAGATTCGATTCACCAAATTCATCATAATCACGTGTTGAAGTCGACTGTAAGATGGCGTCCCAATCACCTACAGGTATGTATTTAACTATAGATGTTCATTACAGTGGAGTATTTGCCCGAAATCCGTTGAAATACTTAGACCTCGAAAAGATAACAGTGCGTGATGTCGATTTTGGAGGGTTTTCCTACAAAGAGTTTCTTTTGTGGCTTAGGAATTTAACAAATGGAAGTTGTGATAATGTGTACTACTGTAGTAGAAAGGAAACCTTAGGTGAGGGTATTATAAGAATCGACAGTGATGCTGATTATTGGGAGTTTGTTGAAGCTACTTATACTCCTGAAGCTGAGTTGGATGTCTACATTGACCAACAAAATGACCCAATCCTTGATTGGGCTGAAAATGAGGTGTTATCAGATGGTAATGGGTATGATAGTGAAGAAGAGGATGAGAATGTAGAAGAGGATGAGAATGTAGAAGAGGATGATAGTGAAGAAGATGATAACTTGGATGGTATTATGGCATATGAGCATGAAGAGGATGAAGAAGTCCATACCTTTAACAAAACTGTTGGTGATGATTTTTTAAACAAACTTTCAGGTAAGCTTAGTGATGATGATGAACCTAATGATGGAAAAGATGAGAAGGTTGTATTCCCTGTCCATGATGAGAACCAAGCATGGGATAAGATGATGCCAATTCTAGGTATGAAGTTTGCAAACCCAATGCATTTGAAGCTATGTCTAACCAATTATGCAGTGAAGAATGGGTATGACTTGTGGTACAAAAAAAGTGATCATAACAGGTTACTAGTGAAGTGTTGTAAAGGTAAGAAGAACAAGAATAATAAAGGTTGTCCCTTTAGGTTGTGGGCAACCTGGATGAGCAATGAAAGGTCATTCCAGATTAAATCTTTAATTGATAACCACAATTGCTCAAGAGTCTTCAAGTTTGGGTCCATTGTTACCTATAAATGGATAGGTAATCATTTCATGAATCAGATTCTCCAGAAACCAAAAATGAGTGTGAGTAAATTGAAGGCTAAAGTTAGCAAGACATTTAATTTGATTGCAAGTGTGGGACAGTGCAGAAATGCAAGGAGGTATGCATTTAAGGAGATAGAGGGTACTTTAAAGGAACACTATGCTAAAACTTGGAGCTATGGAGAAGAGCTAAGGAGGACTAACCCTGGATCAACAGTGAAGATGGATGTAGATGCCATGCCTGATGGAGCCACTTACTTCTCAAAGTTCTATGTATGTTTAAAAGGTGTGAAGGATGGATGGATTAAAGGTTGTAGAAGGGTAATTGGACTAGATGGCTGCTTCTTAAAAGGTGTTTGCAGAGGTCAGTTGCTTGCTGCAGTAGGCAGGGATGCAAACAACCATATCTACCCTCTTGCTTGGGCTGTGGTTGCAGTTGAGAGTAAGGAAACATGGAAGTGGTTTGTTGACCTTCTCCTTGATGACATTGGAATGGGAAATGGACATGGGTTGACATTAATATCAGACCAGCATAAAGTAATGATTTTATATGGTCTCTTTATTTAATACTTAATTTATATGAAGTTTATGTTTTGTTTGTAATGCTGACAGGGATTACTTGAGGCTGTCAAGGAAAGGGTACCTGCAACAGAGCATAGACAATGTGCAAGACACATATGTGCTAATTTCATGAAAAAATTCAAGGGTCAACAGTTTAGTACACTTTTCTGGAGAGCTGCTGCTTCTACTACCTAGGCTAAATTTGAGCAACATATGAATGAAATCAAGAAGATGGAACCACTAGCATATGATCATCTAATGAAGAAGGACCCTAAAACTTGGAGTAAAGCATTCTTTCAAACTGATAGGGCATGTGATGCATATGAAAATGGTGTTTCTGAGAGTTTTAACTCAATCATTGCAGCTGCCAGGAAGAGACCTCTAATCACTATGTTAGAGGAAATTAGAATTTATGTGATGGAGAGACTGTGTATACAAAAAAGTAAGGGAAGTTCTTGGGGAGACTTAAACATATGTCCTACCATCAGACTGAAATTGTCCAAGATTAAGACACTTCAAAGGTTAGTGATTGAATACCTTTTATATACTTACAACTTATATGCTTGACATTCAATTGTGTATACTTACATTTAAGTGTATGTGGACAGATTTTGGAGAGTTGTACCATCTGGTTATCAACAATTTGAAGTGAGACTTTTACAAGATGCATATGCTGTAGACCTTGGTAAGAAAACATGTGGATGTAGAGGCTGGCAATTAACTGGTTACCCTTGTGTACATGCATATGTTGCAATTTCAAACCTCAATAGGGATCTAGAGGACTATGTATCACCATGGTTGACCACAACAATGTTTTGTAATGCCTACTTGTACACCATTAAGCCACTAAATGGTAGTGATATGTGGCCTGATGTGGATTACATCAAGCCATTGCCTCCCAAAATGAGAAGAATGCCAGGAAGACCATTAACAAAAAGGAAAAGGGATCAGATTGAGAATGAACTAAAGGGCAATAAGCATACAGTCTCAAAAAGGGGAATTGCTATGAGATGCAGCATATGCAGAGAATCAGGGCATAATAAAGCAAAATGTCCTCAAAAACCAAGTGGGGAATCCTCAAATCCAAAGTCAAAGTCAAAAAATAAAAAAGCCAACAAAAAAGGTATCTCTCCTCATTTACCTTTTGATTACAATAAAACAGCTTCTAATTCTAACATTTGAGTTATTTCATAACAGGTAAAGTGAAGGTTGAATTGAATCAAGAAGTTGATTTGGAAAGTGATAGTGACAGTGAAGTTCAAAGGGAGCCTGATAGTGAGGTGGAGTCTTATGAAGTTGATTATGAAGAGGGTAATCATACATATGAAGATGTAGACCAACTTGAGGTTGAAGCTGAAGAACAGGTTGAAGTTGGAGGGGTTGAAGAACAGGTTAAAGTTGAAGAACATGTTGAAGCACTTGTTGAAGTTGAAGTTGAAGAAGGTGAATACCAGGCTGGAGATGTAGATCAAGTTGAACAGGTTGAAGTTGAAGTAATTCAAGATCCAGTTGGACAAGATGACCAAGGACAGGCTGCAGTCCAAGATCCAGTGGAAGAGGAGCATATGATGGAAGTACCAGCATTTCAGGTTCTACAGGGAAAGAGAAGAAGGAAACCTTCAGAAAGAATCACAAAAATTCAAATAAGAAAGAAGTGGGAGGGAAAAGAGGGGAGTAGTTGTGATAAACCAATGGAATTGGATTAGAATTTCATAATTTGTTGTTTTTTTGGCATCATTGACTGGGAATCTTTTGTCTAGTAATATGTGTACCTTTTGGCAGTAATGCATCTGTAACTGTGTTAAATTCCACTGTTTTGCAAACAATGTTTCCTGGAATCCAATGTTACATTCCCATGTTAGATTATATTATATTACATCCCAATGTTTCAATGTATACCATTCTAGTGTTTAATTACTTTTCATTCTAAACATGTAACAAAAACTTCAGAAGCAAAAACATGTAACAAAAATTTCATCCATTCATAACATACATAACCATACACAATAACAGGTGGACTACATCATTCCCAATGTTACATTCCCATGTTAGATTATATTATATTACATCCCAATGTTTCAATGTATACCATTCTAGTGTTTAATTACTTTTCATTCTAAACATGTAACAAAAACTTCAGAAGCAAAAACATGTAACAAAAATTTCATCCATTCATAACATACATAACCATACACAATAACAGGTGGACTACATCATTCTAATACCAATCATGTTTCAATCATGAACTACATCATTCAACCTTAATACATCATGAACTACAATGCAATCCACATTTTCACATACAATGCAAATAACAAAATCAGTGCCAATTTGTGAGTAAACAACTCCCACTTGACTTTGTCCAATTCCTGTCTATTAACAAAATTGGTGTTCTTTTCTTCTTCGATCTTCATTCTACATATGCTGATTTCATTCTCCAAAGTGCAAATTTTCAAGGTTAAATTACAGCTTTCTTCTGGTTTCCTCCAGTAAGGCTTTCTTCCATCTGTCCTCCCTTCATCCTCATCCAGCCATTGCCAGAATTTACAGCTTGGACTTTTTCCATTCTTGAAGAAAAATTAAAAAAATGTTAGGTTAAAGGATGAAAAAGAAGAAAGGGTATTCAACAAGATGGAGAAGAAGAAAGTTGGAACGTATTCAGCTTACCATCGAGTTTTGACAAACTCTAAATTTTCTTCCAGGATTGTCAGGGGTTCTTGAAGTCTTCACACGAGATGGTAAGTTGCAATCACATGGATGATCAGCTTGAAAATCATCTTGTCGTTTTGAAGAATAAGATGAGGAAGAAGAAGCCATCGTAGATCTAGGGTTCAAAATCGGGTGTACTTGAATGACTTCTTATTCTGTAAACGAAGATGATATAAGCACAAAGCCATGTAGGTGCAATGTATTCAACTCAGGTGCCAGATGGCTGCCATATAAGCAAAAACCGGTAATAGCCGGTGATACTACCTTAATATGAACAAAACTGACAAGTTTGTTCCATTAATGAGAACAAAAAAAATAATATTACCTTTATGTGGACAATCGAAATAGTTACTTACCTTCATAAGTCATTTTCCCTTTAAAAAAAAATACTATTGTTTTCGGTGATACAATTTTACCAGGTATTTCTTTCATTCAAAATTGATTCGGGTCAAAAAATTCCGCCCAAATTCACGTTCATCTTCTTCGCCCGGTTCATCACTCCTGTTGTTGAGTGTTTTTTAGAAGGAAAGCCGGGTTCTGCGTCTCCTCCTTCTGCCTACGATTTCTCCTTCATATTCATTGATCAATCATCCTTCTCGTCCTGGCAGACATGAAATGGTCTGGCTGACTATATTTGGAGCTTCAAAATCGGTAATTAACTTTTCATTCTGATTTAGGTTTTCGGAGTTTGAATTTCATATGCGTAGCTTTGCTTCTGCAAACTAGTCACAATACCGCCTCTTGAATTCTGTGCTTTGGCGAATTGAATCTCAATTAGAGTTCAGTTTTTTTTTTTTTTTTTTTTTTTTTTTTTTTTTTTTGCTGTAATTCGTTACAGGTTTGGCGAATTGAATCTCAATATGTAGTCTGTGGTTTAATTTTTGATCTTTTAGTTCCATCTCTGTTTTGACTATATATCTTCACTGCTGTACTGCCATGTACTTGGTGAGCATTTTGAAAATTTAAGATGAAGAAACGTTATTTAGTATCAAAATTTATAACCTGATGTGAAGTTTATCTTTGTATAGAATTTTTATTACTGTATCTGTTGGATAATATTGTAATTTCCCGTTAGCTTTTTTGGTAAATAAGCGTTTATGAAGAACTTAAACTTATATTTATGAAAACTTCATATATTGGTATCAGTGACTATTTCCTCAGGCTGTAATGGCTTCAGACCAGGCAACTTTGGATGGAAGCCTCTCGTCAACTGATTTCCAAAATTCTGCTAATGCTTTTGCTCAAAAGTGGAACAAGTTCAATTCTGGTTTTCCTGAGTGGTCATGGATTGATTGCTCAAACAGATTAGGGTTTCACAGAGTTACTGAAGGATATTTGTCTTTACAGCACGTGTTGTTTCCGAGATCAATTGAGGTCTAGCTTTGAATTCACACCGCAACACAAAATTGGCATACAAAGACATGAAAAATGTTATCTGATGTCTCATTTGTTATGCAGGAAGAGCATGATGAAGGCAATTCTAATGATCACCAAGAACCTTTTGATACTGCCACTTTGGTATGTTTATGTTTATGTTTGTGACATTCCCATTCTGACTTGATTTCAGCTTAATCAAACCATTCCATGAAAAGTGTAACATTGCATAGAGTTTTAGGAACATTATTGGTTATCTTTTAGGCCTTGAAATTGCATCAGAAATCAATTTCCATGAGATTAAGAGGATAATACTAATGGTGAGTGATGAAATTGTATGAATTTGCAAGGTACAGAGCAACAGTGATAGTAACGATGGAGATTGGTATGATTTCCATGTGGTTTACAGTTCTTCCTATAGGGTTCCGGTGCTATACTTCCATGCACAAACTAGTGGTAAGCTGATCACTGCCTTCATGCATGGAACTTAGATATGATATGTGTCTCATTACATTCATTGATAAGTGATAACTGATGCTTATGGAGTATGCAGATGGACAACCTCTAAACGTTGGTGAAATTGAAAAGAACCTACCAAGCAAATCGAGCGATGTGCTGATGGATTCAAAATGGACTTTCATAACTCAACAAGTAAGTTATTGTTTTCATCAAGTCTTTTAAATAAATAATCAACATAGAGATACGTTGATTTATTGATGTGATGTTCATTTTCTTAAATATAGGAGCACCCATACTTGAATAGACCATGGTACATGTTACATCCATGTGGGACAAGCGAGTGGATGAAGCTACTTCTTGCTGATCATAATTCAACAGACAGATACTTGGTATCATGGTTTACAGTGGTAGGCCAAGTGTTTGGTCTAAAATTACCACTTGAAATGCTAAAAAGCTAAATTAGTATGAACATTTCATTTCATGCTGTCATTAACATTGGATACTTTTATAACATCTGTTCCCAAAACTTTAGTTATTCTAATAATCTACTCTACTTTAACTGGTGAGTCAACTCTTATATCGGTTGTTCTACTAAAACAAGCCAGGAATTCTATGTTTCCTTCAGCACCCTTTAATGGAGACTCTATCCAGCCATTGCATTGGAATCCTAGATCTTCCACACCCTTCACTATCTTTTCACGCACCTTATAATTATCCAGCAATTATGAAGATTGATTAGACATTTAGACCTAACAATTATGAAAAGTGATTTGATATGAAGAGATACTATATACCTCTTGATGAACCAAGGGATCTCTCACAATTCCACCTCCTCCCACCTGTACGGATAATTGAAATGTGAGGATTTCTAATATTTAACCCCACAAAAGGGAGATGAAAACATGAAAGGAAAAAGAATTTGGCTTTTTCATACTTGTGATCTACGAGCCTCGAATTGAGGTTTGATTAGTGTAACTAAAGTAGCTTCTTCTTTCATCAGGCTAATAACAGCAGGCATGACCTACAAAAGAGATGAAACACAAATCATTGAAATGAATAAACTTTATGTCTATGATATTGATGGGTCTGTTTTGTTGGATGGAATGAAATACCAAACACACTACACAAGGTTAATGCTCTCACCACAAGTATAGAAATGAATGAAAGATCCAAAGTCACCAAGTCAACTTTCTGAGGAAGTTCAGTAAGATATCTTAGGTTTGTCCTTTCAATAACCGAGACACGTTCATCTCGACGAATTTTATCCGCCACCTATACAAAAAATTAGTATGAATTGAAACCATAAATTGATCATTTTTGTGTTTTCTGATTATATTTATATATGTATGTATGTAACATTTACCTGTCCATATCCTACATCAACACCATAAACAAAAGAAGCACCATACTGAAGCAAGCAATCAGTAAACCCTCCAGTAGATAGCCCTGAGTCAAGAGCCACTTTACCAGTAACATCAATTCCTAGCTGTTCAATGGCAGCTTCTAATTTATGTCCTGCTCTAAAGTAAACATCAACTTAACAAACTGAACAATGAAAATGAAACCAAATTTCATATACAAAGAAAGTTATTTAGGAGAATAATCACCTACATACATATTTTGGGATTTCAGCCTTGATTTCCACAACGGATTTATCAGAAACAGGGTGTCCAGATTTAGTTACAACTCTCCCATCAACAATTACCTTGCCTAAAGTAAAAAAATTTAAATGCAAACACAAGGGAACAAAGAGTCAGCTTTGAGGAACCAGGGCATAAAAAACACAGAATTATCAATTATGAGATGAGTAACCTTGTAGGATCCATGATTGAATGTAGTTTCGACTGTACTGCTGAAACCTTTCAAGACATACTTCATCCAATCTCTTCTTCCTATAAACATAAATTGAGAATAATAGATCAAATTCAAGGTTGATCTTAAATCGGTGAGAGAGATAGAATTGCTCACTTCTTTGGTGGTATAACTTTTCCTGACTTTAGAGTGGCGAAGCTTCTGACTGGACAATTTTTGTGGGTGTTGGGCCATCTCACTGGATTGCAATGTACAAGTAGTCAGAATACATCTGGTAGAAGATAAATCATAACTACTTCATCACTCTCATCATTAGAGCATAATCCTTTTCTCTTGATATCATTTGAAACTTGAAAGCATAATTGCATACCCAGGAATCAAAATTGAAGCGGAACCAGTTCAAAATATGAGCTAAAGGAGCTACATTCCAATTCCACGCCCTAAATAGTAATTCTTTCCTTAAGACAAATATTCAATTTTCCTAATTGGCAGAAAAAAATAATAATAACACCCAAATGTGTTTGATCGCTATAGTTTTGTGGAACATTAAGTAACTAACTCATAAACTACTATGAACACTTAATAAAAACAACAGGTAAATACTAGACATCAGAAATTATAATTAATAGTTGAATACTTCCTTTTCTACATAAAAGGGCGTTAGAATACATCAAAATCATTTAACTCCACGAGAAATTCTACAATTACTAATAAGCTGATGATATCCACGAAAATTTTAAAGAATTTAACTCAATTTCTATCAGATTTATACATGAAATACTGGATACAGATGAACGCGATGAACCGAATGATAAGAAACGAAGAAATGGAAATTACGCAGAAGTACCTGGAAGCTGAGAGAAGTTTTGATGTTCGGATGTGAAGAAGACTCCATTGCTGGAGCTAAGCCACCCGCAACGGCGAAATAATGGGAGCTTCGACAATTGCAACACCATTGATGTGTCGGAGTCGGAGTCGGAGCGTTTGTGTCACTGACTCTGTGTTATCGGACTTAACCACAAAACTGGTAACGGGCTATAATTAGGCCCAATTATATGATGGAATTGGCTTTTAAGTAGCCCAAATAGATTAACTTTGCCATTAAAATCAGCTAAAACGTTGCTTTTGATTTTAAATGGTCCTACATTAGATTTGGTGTTTTATAAGTGAATAAACAATGAAATGACATCTTAATAAAGGGAATGGTAGGTTTTTTCTCCCTGTTAGCAGGTTACTCCATGTTTTATGTCGATGTCACATATAATTTGATGTTGCATTAGATTTAGATGTTCACATAATCCACTCATTGCAACCTCCCTCGTATCCTCCCCAGTCTCCACAACCTCCATTCTTCTTTAGACGTCTCCTTTATGGTGGTGATAGATATACACAAAATTGTTTAAGGACCTTTTAAAACTATTTATTAACTTTTAATGATATTAACGCTATGATTAACTATCTATATGATTTGAAATATCAATTACAGATTATAAATATATAGGTAAAATTAAAGTTTATCCCTAATTTCAATCAACTAATTATCTGGGATTTATTTCTCTAGGTTATCATATCACTTTGAAAACACATATTTATGTCGTTTTATGATTCTATCATTCTCATGTTTTATGCTCTTAAACCATACGATTTATATTGCTTTCATTTAATTTTAGTTAGGATTTAACTAGTATAACTGGTTTGTTACATAAAAAAAGAAATGGAATTATGATCCCAACTACTACTAAAAAATTCGATTGTTATAAGTTTACAACTTATAAAATTTTTATTGGGGAAAGATATTATTCTGTGTTCTAACCTTCAGAACATGTGGGAACTAGTGAAAATACAAGATTCTAGAGTGAAGTTTGGATTGGATGTGCCCCCTTAAGGTTAGATTCAAAAGCTTTTCTACTTGGAAACATATAAAGATTGGTCGAGTAAAGATATGTGGAAGAATAATTCTTAGGAATGGAGCTGGAACAAAGAGATTTGCGGAGGTGTGCTTTTGTTGAAATTATAGGAAGAACACCTCTTATCACATGTTCAAATTAGTAATCAGGGCTTGTAAAGCTCAAGGGTGTTTACTTCAAGGATACCTATGAGTTTATTGATGATTATCTATTAGAGATAAGGAATGGCGCCAACAGATGAGTTTATTGATGATTACCTATTATGTGTTGTGTTAGTACTCTGGGGGAAATTCACTAAGCTTTGAACTTACAGTTTTAGATTATGTTTCAAGTACCTCAGACGATCGTGAGAAGACGATTTTTTTTTTCCAGTTTTGATACTTTGGTTTTTTTTTTTTTTTTTTTTTTTTTTTTTTTGTTCCAAATCAAACATTATTTTCTCCAATTTTATTCAATGTTGACCATTTACCATTTGAAACCATATAAATATTTTTTTAATACATTTTAAAGCATATAAAAAATATATTTTTATTTAAAAACTCTATTTTTGTATAAATACACATTTTTTTACATTAAAACCATAATTTTATGTATAAATATGCATCCGTTATATAATGAGAACCAAAATAACCTTAAACTTCGGATCAACAAAATTTTATCATTTATCGCTATGAAATATTATTTATTTATTTATTTTTTTGTTGTAGATTTTACACATATTTTTATTCACACTTAAATAATTTTATTAGTCATATATTGATATCCAACGCTTGTTTGAAGCATTGAAGAAGAGGTGAGAAATATAAAACAAAATATTAAAATTTAATGAGAACACTAAAATAGATGTAATAATGATGATATTTATCATTCATAAATATTTTTGAAAAAAATAAGCTAAAAATATATGATTTAATGAGGGTCACACCATGAGATTCAAGATGTTCATAATAATATTATGAATAATATATGAGATGTAAAATTTCATTGGTTGCAAACTTAATATTTGAGTCTTGATCGATTACACGTCTTCAAACCTCCAAACTCATTTTAAAGTTGCTTATCTAATATAAAATACGATTTTCATATAACTAATACATATTTATACATAAAATTATGGTTTGATTGTAAAAATAATATTTATTTATACAAAAATATGGGTTTTAATGAAAAAATACTTATATGGCTTAAAATATATTAAAAAGTATTTATATGGTTTCAAATGAAAATGGTAAACATTGAACAAAATTGAAAAAAAATGATGCTTGATTTGGAACAAAAAATAAAGTGTCAAAATTGAAAAAAAAAAAAACTTCATATCAAAATCGAAAAAAAGTGGAAATTTAGTGTTTTTTATGAAAAAAAATTCAGTTTTAACACGTCAATATACCATGTAATCAAACAGACATGTTATCATGTCCCGTTAGCAGGTAACCGAGTTGCCCGATTAAATAGTCAGAATTGTAAAAAAATATAGAACAATGTCAAATTTAACAAAAAAAAAAAAAACACAATGTTAAATTAGAATTTTAATGTAAACTTAATATCTTTTGTAACCCGATTGACTTGTGAATAGAAATAGTAAAATTGTGATGAACTTGTTCAATTAGATTCAAAATAATTTGTTTTACCACTACCTTATTTGTGGTGTAATAATTAAAATTAGTTGTTTAAAAAAACTATTGGAATATGTCAAAAAATATTAACGGGTTTATACAATGTGCCAATGTTTTGACATTGTCTAAATTTTATATAATAATTAAACCCGAAACAATTTTCGTCATTAAATGCGCAAAAGAAATTTGTATTACTTTTACTTTTGAAAACATTTCACGTTATATTTATTTTTATTATATTATATGAAATAAAAATGGAACTTATGTAAACAAAATAACCACCAAACTTTATAATTTAACACAAAGTAGGAAATATGGCAAACAATTGTCCTCCATAGACTACGCAATCCAAGCAAATGATATAGGATAAGGGTGGCAAGCCATCCATATATTCATCATCCAATAAGGACCATCCATGTGTCATGAATCATCTTTGAAGGCAAACCCACAAATTTCTGAAGTAAATGGTCATAATAAGTTATATTCAAAACTGAAGAAATTGGGGACAATAAGCATCGACCATGGCTAGCCTCCAGCTCAAGACTGGCTTGACTTCCTCATTGACCACCACAAGGCCGGTTGCACCCAAAGGCCTTTCTGGTTCACCTCTTAGGCTCTTCCCTTCTTCCCAGAGGTCTTCCTCCACTATCAAGGCAGTAAAAACCGACAAGGTCGTTTCTTCTCTTCATTTTTCTGTGATTTTTAAGATTTTATTTAAGAAATAATACGTTGTAATAGGGTAATTTACTGAAATGCCCATGTTGGGGATTCACGATCTGCTCATTGCTCAGTACTAGTTATCAATCCATCTAGATTGATTTCAAATGCTTTATTTGGTGGTATTTGCCTTATATGATGATTTCCTGAAGGTTATGCCTTTAAATTTTACTTTTCATGTTGTCGGGTTTATTGAGAATTAGTAACTAATTTCAAGATTTATCGTAGTATTGTAAGGAAAAGCTGATTTTGATTTATTCAAATGCTTCATACTTTTCCTTAAGATAATGCATATGTTCTAGTTGTTTTACTAGAAATATGATGCTCACGAATGAGCCATTGCCCATTGTTGATTGTTTTGTATCGATTCTTTTGCCCACTTCCAATTTTCTATTACATGTCCTTGATGAATAGTAAGATAATTCGACTTTTAAGTTTTAACCTTTGTCAAGTGACAACAGGTACCTTTGTTGCATAGAAGGTTATAATGGCCTTTTTCTCTATAGATATGAGAACGTGCCATAGTACAAACAAAGAACTAGTTATGGTTTTCATGTCATAGAGGCTTGTGGATCCTTTCGGTTACATCACATCTATTAATTATGTCGGGCATAATCACGTATTTTGTCTAGTTCTATTTGTATTTTCTGTTTGCTAATACGATAAAACTGTGCAGCCTACATTCCAAGTCGTCCAACCCATCAATGGTGACCCGTTCATTGGAAGTCTCGAGACTCCAGTGACATCGAGCCCACTAATTGCGTGGTACCTTTCAAATCTTCCTGGATACCGGACCGCTGTGAACCCATTGCTTCGAGGCATTGAGGTCGGGCTAGCCCATGGATTCTTCCTAGTGGGCCCATTTGTGAAAGCAGGCCCATTAAGGAACACAGAGTATGCAGGTGCAGCAGGATCACTAGCCGCGGGTGGGCTTGTGGTGATCCTTAGCATTTGCTTGACTATGTATGGAATTGCATCATTCAAAGAAGGTGAACCGTCGATTGCACCATCATTGACTTTGACCGGGAGGAAGAAACAACCTGACCAACTCCAAACAGCCGATGGTTGGGCTAAGTTCACTGGTGGGTTCTTTTTTGGTGGGATCTCCGGTGTCACTTGGGCTTTTTTCCTTCTTTATGTTCTTGACCTTCCTTACTATGTTAAATAGGTGAAATCCTATTTGGGCTTTTTCAAATACCTATTGATACATGAATACATGATCGCTCAAATTATGATACACTTTGCTTGTGCTTATGGAAGATTGTTATAACTTTATGGTTTAATTATTATAAAAGCAAACAAACTGATAATAAATTATGTCTTAGTGATATGATTTTCAAAAAGAAATTCAAAATATATTGAGCAGATTCTTATATACTTGGAACCATGCTAAAACGAACTACAAATTATCGTCCAACGCGTTATGTTTTTGTTCAAAATTGACCTTCATTTATTTAGTGTCTAGTTGAAACTTGAAATGGAAAAAAAATGTTTATGGCTTTATGTTGTTCTCTGTAATACATTGGTTTTGGTATATTTAATGTCCAAAACGGTCATCATACAAATGATAAATTAATCCCTAAAATATTGAATGGTGGTTTAAATGGTGATGTGAACTCAACCCACATAAGAAGAAGAAACATGAAAAGAGAGTTGGTTTATGTATGGAGTCAGTTGTAATTAAGCTTGATAAAATGTATATGTAAGTTGTATCCATAGAAGTTTATATCATTTCATCGAAATATTGTATGCTTCGATTTTATACATTTCATATGATATTATAGCATTTTTTTATTTATGCATTTAATCTAAATAAAATTTTAAAAATGTTATGAGCTTAAACTTAAAGAATTATTCAACCGAAATCTTTTTCTGCATATATAATCGAAAAAGTTTCAAAAATATGATTATTAGTCTTTGACAAGAAGATTGAACTGTCAAATTTTATATAAAAACAAACAATAACAAAAGGCGGTGTCCTATAAAAGAATAGTTGAGCTTGGTAAAACGATTTTCTATAACTAAAATCCATCCAAACAATATGAAAAAATAAAAAGCATTATTACTGTCACCGATCTTAATTAGTGGCGGAGAACCTCAACAAACAAGGCATTAACAGAACTGTCGTATTAAGGTCAAAGCCAAAGGTAATTATAATTTCTTACCAGTCACCGGACGCAAAAATGTAAAAGCTCCATCCCACATCGGCGCAAAGTAGCAATGTAATCGACTATATATAATCTTCGGAGAGATGAAAGGGCACGACCTTACTTGAACAGGATCTGTTCTATAGGCTCGTACCACTGTATTCTTGAGTCCTAAGAAGACAGAAAACCCATGTCGTGGTTGATGAACCACGACCATGTAACCAGAGCGTGATTAACGGAGTTTCTCATGTTTTCGGCCATGGCTCAGTAGATGATCGTTGCCGGTCCATCTTGATGTGTCCTGGCATGGTTACATGGTTGTCTGACAGACAATAAAACTTTTTTTTTTGATTCCATGTCGCTTCGTAACTGAATCTTTTTTCAATTAGTTGCTCTAGAATTAAAAACCTGAAATTTATTTTCTTGTTTCATTCAACAATTTTCATGTATATTAAGATCTTATCTGTAATGGCTATTAGCTTCTGACCCCCTTTCTGGTCCTTTTGTTTCTGACAAAGTCTTCAAAAGATCTTTGCCCCACATCATATAGCAGATGAAGGCGAATTGTATTTTATCAGTCTTCAGCGTTAAGGCCTTAAGGGCAAATATGGGTTCTATAAGTTGTGGTTTTACAGAATGTCAAAACCCAGAGATGCAGATAAAGTGTTCGATGAATTGCCTGATGGAGATTATGTTTCTTCTTGGGTCAGGTTATGATTCATCTTAATTTGATCTGCTATTACTTTTCACCCATATCATTTTTATGCCTCACATAGTTCATAAAATATGGTCTTCAATGAAGTTGCTCAACTGAACATGTAAAGTATACTATAGTCCCAGAGAAGATGAAGATGAGTAGGTTAGTATTCGGTTCAGTCAAAAGATCGCTTCTAAGATCTCAGAAAGAAACTGCTAGAAAATATTGTTGAACGAGCAAACCTTAAGCTGATGTTAGCTCACATGTAGATGCATATATTGAAGGATGCATGTCTGGTTGACATTTTGATTTATTTATATATTTTTCATTACATTCCCAATGATCATTTTCATTTTCACCATTTGACTGCATATACTTAAATTCACCAAAGAAATTTCCAGGTAGTTGTGACATTTGAATTCTTCTTGATAAGCGACTGATTAACCTTCTTCTTCATCCCCTAGAATATTGCACACCTTCCCCTGTTGATATTATTTAAATTTAGGAGATATAATATTTAAGCAGATAAATCTTTTGTTTAAACACTTGAATGATGTATGCGTGGGGAAGTATATTGAGTCAACTGATTGGCTGAAGCTCTTTTTATGAGTTTAATCAATAAAAAGAGAGAAGAGTACAGAAGATGAATAGAGTATAGAGAAAAGAGCGAAGCTTATTTTACGTACTTGCAGCAACATGAGCATTTTTTACCATTGAATAATGAAGATAAGTAGCAGGGAGAGAAGACACCTTTCATCTTTAATGTTGATGTTGCTCTGCTTGCAGATATATACAAAAGCACAAGAAGAAAATCCAGCCTACAAGGAGATCCCAGTGGGAGTGATTCTAGATATGGGATCATCATATTCATATTCATATTCATATTCATATTCTGGGGTTGGAAAGGCTGTTCATAGCTGCATCACCATGGCTGTGTCTGAGTTTTACATGGTCAACCCTCACTTCCAAACAAGGATAGTTATTCACCATAGGGATACCCATGGAGACCCACTGCATGCTCTCTCTGCTGGTAAGTCTTACCAATTATATAACTATAAACTATCTCAGACTTCATTTGGAACACATCATGTAACAAGATCAAAAGTAAATACCAAAAAACATGTGAAGAGTACAACACATGAAAGGCTTGTAGTTGTCAATTTGTCATACAAATTTGTTAATTCATGTCTTTCACACATCAGATGTTTCCTATGGATATATTTTCATTGTCTTAATTCATTCATTTATAATTGTCTTTTTTTTTTTTGGTCCCACCAGCTCTTGATCTTTTGGAAAAGCCAAAAGTGGAAGCAATCATAGGTTCAGAGTCAACAGCTGAAGCAAAGTTCCTGGCGGTTTTGGGAGACAAAGCTAGAGTGCCTATTCTTTCACTTTCACCATGTCTATCTTGCAACAAGCATCCTTATTTCCTTCAAGTTACACAAGATGAAAATGAAACCAGTCAATTTAAAGCGATTGCTGCAATGGCAGAATCCTTTAGATGGAAGGAAGTTATTGTTATCTGCGAGGACAGTGACAGGGGAAGAGATATGACAAATACTCTCCAAACAAAGAGCATACTTGTAACATATAGGAGCCTAATTTCAACCTCTTTTAGCAATGAACTACTCCAGGAAGAGCTTCACAGGCTTTCAACTATGCAAACAAAAATATTCATTATGCATGCTTCCCCTTCTCTTGCATCACACCTTTTGGTGAATGCAAAGTATCTTGGAATGATGGATAAAGGATACAAATGGATTATCACCAGTAAGACTATGGAGTTTCTGAATTTAATGGATGATGAAGTTATTGAGTCTATGCAAGGGGCAGTGGGTTTTAAATCATACATTCTACAATCAAGGGATCTTCACAATTTTACTTGTAGATGGAGAAGGAAATATCATGCTAAGAACCCTGTGATGAAGCTGAAGGAGATAAATAGTTATGCTATTTGGGTGTACAACACAGTTTCAGCTCTAGCAATGGCTGTTGAGCAAGTTGAACAACTGAAGATAAAAGACGTGTTGACTCAAAGTCAAAGGGGTACAACACTTTTAAATCAGATGTTAAGCATCTCATTTCATGGTTTAGGTGGTGTTTTCCAACTTACGAATGGGGATGGGAAGATTAATGCTGCACAAGTCCTGGAAGTTGTAAATGTGATAGATAAAGGAGAAAAGAGGGTTGGATTTTGGACAAGGGATGCTGGTTTTTTCACCAAAAAGATAGGTAGGGTGAATAATTCAGTTTCTGATGAGGGTCTGGAAGCCATCATCTGGCCTAAAGGAGGCATCACAACTAATTCATCACATAGGATGCTACAAGTGAGTAGCAAAAATCTTAAAATTGGGATTCCAGGGAAACATGGAGTGGCAAAAGTTTTTCAAGTGAAATACGACACTCAAACCAATGCGACTGTTGTTTCAGGGTTTTGTGCAGATGTATTCCGAACTGTATTCAAAGGATTAGGTCGTGACATATCCTTTCAATTCATTCCATTTATGGAAGAAGATGGAACAATAAATTACGACAATCTTATATATCGAGTCTATACTGGGGTATGCATCTTTTCCAACTTAGTATTCTTTGTTCTATGCGCAGGAAAAGCATTATAATTTCTTTTATTGCATTTTTATTTGGGTTAATCACATAACAACGTGACAAACTACCTAAAATATTTTAAATATATCATTAAATTAAAAAAAAACACTTTAAAATGTAACAAAATTAAAATTTTGTTTTTAATTTACCCATGGGACGGTAATAGGCATTTTCCTGGTAACATTAGTATTTTAAAAACAAAAGTTAGAGTTTGTTACCTTTTAATGTTTTTTTTTTCATTGGTATTTTTAAAACACTTTATGTAGTTCATTACATTTTTTACTTCATAATTTGATAATCACATTTTTTAATTTTTAGCACTTTTTATTATCTAAAACTACATGCAATTTATTAATTTTATTAGTCATAATAATTACACATCGATATCAATCTCTTTTTAAGGCCAAAAATATTATGTTATGTTGTGAACTCATGTAATTTAATGAGTAACCACAACAAGAACAGCACAATGTAAAGAACAAAATGCAATTCCTTCACTACTACTCAAATGAATCAAGAACAAAAGGAGGTTAGCTGATTTGAGATAGCTACTCTCCCAAAAAGGAAATAATTCCAGGTTTAATAGAAAAGATCGATATCTCACTTCTTATCCCGCTACCCTCTTATACTATCAATCATAACAACTAAATAATATAAAATACCCATAACGCCCCTGTACCAACAAGGTGCTCTTTATTTGATGATTACCCCAAACTACCCTTTCTCTAAAATAAGGTGACCAGAGTGGGTGCATAACATGTTACAACATTCATAATTTAATAAAAATTATAATCTCAATTGTAGTGATAAATGCAAAAACTAAATTGTAATCTCAATTTAACTAAAATTTATCCTAAAAATATTTTTATAATCGTTAAAAAGTTTTCAAATAAGTAGTTTAAAATAACTTACAATAACAATAATTAAAAATAACTCTATATAAATGATTATATTGTTACCTTTAAAATAAAAAAATAATGTTTGATGTTTTAAATAATTATAATGATAGAAATTAAAACATTAAGCAAATAAATTTTTAAAAACTAATTAACAATAACAACTATAAATAAAATTAAACCATATAGTATATTTATTTTATCAATGTGTAACTCGCATGTAGAAGTTATTCAAACAATTGAAATTATGCAGTTATAATAGATGTATATATTATTATTATATAATTCAAAATAATCAATACATTATATCAATTTAGTATACAAATTATTCTATCAAATTTAACAACAATGTTATTATTATATTTAAAAAAAAACGTATATTTATAAAGACTTCAACTATATAGTTGTTTTTGCGTAACGTGCGGGCATTCGCCTAATATATATATATATATATATATATATATATATATATATATATATATATATATATATATATATATATATATATATATATATAACAAGCATAGGAGTGTCGCTATGGGCTCCATAGGGACTGCCTAGCAATGTAGTGACATTCTTGAATTCTTTATTTTTATTTTTATTTTCTTAATCCGGTATATATAGACCCGTTTTAGGGTTTTTTTAGTTGACTAAGTCAAAGAAGGTTCATACGCTCTCACTAGCTTCTCTCGACCCAGCCTCCTTGAGCTTCTTCAACGATAGCCAGCTCCTTCCCTTCTTCCTGCGATTTCTCCTGCAATCGAACTACTCCTTACTTCTTGACAGATCTGTACCTTGATTAAGGATATTGTGTTGATCATGTTCCTTTAGTACAATACACTAAACAAAAATCAAACACCTGGAATGGATGCTTCTGTATTGCTTTATTCATATCCATATTGACCTTGGATTCACTAGCTAGGAAACTTCTTTTCATGGAATTCTATGAGAATCCATTTCATTTGACTTAATAGATCAAAAGAAGAAACCTAGCTAAATCCGAGGTGCAAGTGGATCCAAGGCTTCAAGCAAAACCTAAGCGAACAAAGACATTTTACTTGCTAGATCAAAAGAAGAGACCTAGCTAATATATTTAAAGTTTTACACTTTTCATTGTTTGAAAAATAACCAAACATATCAAAATTAATAATGTTTATACTGTACAGTTAGAGGTTTATATCAAATATTTTCAAGCAAAAAATAAATAAATATGTTACAACATTCACAATTTAAAGATCATAGTTTTTATTAAACTGTGAATGCTGTCACATAATTTTTTGTCTTAAAAATTAATCGGTATTGATGTCTAATTATTAAGATTACAAAATTAATACATTTCATGTATTTTTAGATAATAAAGAAATGCTAAAACTAAAAAAAATGTAATTATCAAATTGTGAACGAAAAAAGTTATGAAAGGTAACGAATTATGTAAATTGTTTTAAAAATACAATGAACTAAAAAGACATGCAAAAGTAGCAAACTCTTGACTTTTGTTTTCAAAATACCCATGTGACCGGGAGAAAGGGCTATTACCGGTTACAAGAGTATTTAAAAAACAAAAGATAAAATTTGCTACCTTTTAACTTTTTTTTAATGGTATTTTTAAAACACTTTAAGTAGTTTGTTAGCTTACCTTATTATGCCATTAACCTTTTTTTATTTACACCAGGAATTTGATGCTGCAGTTGGAGATATAACAATCATGGCTAATAGAAGTCTATATGTTGACTTTACACTGCCATATACTGATCTTGGCCTTGGAATGCTGTCTCGAAACACTCATGCAGGCATGTGGATCTTTATGGAACCACTGAGTTCAGATCTGTGGCTTGTGTCTGCTTGTTTCTTTATATTACTTGGTTTTGTCATTTGGATTCTTGAACATCCAACGAATGAAGAGTTTCAAGGTTCATCATCACAACAGATTGGAACAACGTTATGGTTTGCCTTTTCAACCCTTGTTTTTGCTCATAGTAAGCTCTCACATCCCTGGGTTTTTTCTTTTATACCTAAGACACTTTTGTATTCATATGAGATATAAGATACAAAAACTTTCTATTTTGGTAAACTAAACTTAAATTGGACAAAAGAGTCAAACATAAGTTGGTGGTTGAAAATTGCAGGGCAGAAACTGCAGAGTAATTTGTCAAGATTTATAGTGACTGTGTGGTTGTTTGTAGTGCTGGTACTTGCTTCAAGCTACACTGCAACCCTGAGTTCGCTATTCACTATTGAACAAATTCGGTTAGCCTCAAAGGGAGACTTAATTGGGTACCAAGGTGGTTCCTTTGTGAAGGGAGATATCGTTAGGAACTTTAATTTTAAAGACACCAGTTTGAGGCCATATTCTACATTTGAGGAATATGCTGATGCTTTATCAACTGGGAGCAAGAAAGGTGGTGTTGATGCAATTATTGATGAAATTCCATACCTGAAGGGATTCCTAGCTCAGTATCCATCTGGCTACTCCATGGTTGTGTCTGAAGTCACCACTAGTGGTTTTGGCTTTGTGAGTGTCCTCTCCTGAGTCACTACACTTACTAGTCACTAGTTATACCATTTACTGAAGTTTGTAGATGAACAACTCTATATGTAATAATATATCATGTGCAGGCATTCCCGTTAGGTTCACCCTTGGTCCCTGAGTTATCAAGGCAGATTTCCAGGCTACGAGAAAATGGGAGCTTAGCAAAGTTGGAGAAGAAGTGGTTTAAATCAAATCAACAGTCAAAGGATTCCAAGCATGCTTCAAAGATTCTAAACCTGAAAGACTGCCGTGGTCTGTTTCTTATTAGTGGAGTCTCAATGGCTGTGGCCCTTTCCATATTCTTGTTTTATTTTATTCATGAGAAACTGCATTTCACATACACAATGCTGGCTGGAGGAAAACTTGCATTCATAATGAGGATTCTCAACCCTAAACCGGTGGTTGAACTTGAAACAAGATGATCCAAACCGAACAACAACTACAACTATGCCATTCATCTTGTCTATGTTTATTCCTTTCTAGCTTCTAGGCTCAGGCATATGAAGATTCATTAGTAAACCTGTTTATCTCTCCAATTTCTCCTTTTAGTCGTGTAGTTTTTTTAATCAATGGTAGCAATGTGAGGTATGACAAAACAATGTTGAATGTGAAGATTCTGTCTCTTTAACATCTTGTTGATCATGTTTCAAACATTCCTTTCTATACTTGTTTTTTTAGATGTAGTCAATCATGAGGTTCAAAAACTGTCGGTTCATTTTTAGATTTGCAATTGCTTGTACTCAACCTCCACCCTTTCTACAACTGGATCATAACAGTTGGAAAATCCTTTAGTTACAATATCCGTTATTGCATTATGAAAGCTGATTTCACTTGTTCTCTTTGCTAATCATGGCAACTTGAGGATGGCACTCTATTTGCATAATCAGATGGAGTGGAGTTGAAAGTAGAAGATGCATGGTAACTTTTACACATAGTCTTTTTACCTTGTGGCTTTACAATCCTTTTTGAATGTTTCTGATGTGTATTTGTTTTCAGTCACTTCATTTCTGCCCTGCTCTGCTTAAGGCTGTAAAAACAATGAAGAAAGGGGACATGAACATGGCTCAAGACTCAAGAGAAGATCAAGGCTGCTGGAAAAAAAAGAAGGAAGAGGGTAATGTGTTCTTTAAAGCCGTTAAATAATATGAGAAGGTAATTAGACTCTGGTTGACTAGTCATAAGTCAAGAACTAACTAAGTTGTACTAATGCAAAACTAGTGTATGACTAGATCTAGTTTCTATTTTTGACCTTTCCAGGCTGCTAATTAAGTTCATTGAGTATGTCACTAATTTTGAAGAAGAAGAAAAGCATTGAAGGTTACCTGTAACCTTCATAATGCAGCTTGCCGTTGACAGTTTGTTGTTTCTAAATTTATATGCTGTTTAAAAAGTTGTTAATAAGTGGTGGGGAACCATGATTGAGACAGGTGTGGGAACTTGACACTAAGTATTTAAACTAATGCTTTGACTGGGTAGTGGCAGTATGATAGCCATGAATATTGCTTTTGATTATGGACCCCACCTTCTCAATTACATCACATTTACCAACTAGTTTGGGCTTGGATCCCACACCCCGTTCGGGTGTTGACTTTGATGGGGAGGAAGAAGCAACCTGACCAACTTCAAACAACCCATGGTTGACTTGGGCCTATTTCCTTCTTTATGTTCTTGACCTTCCTTACTACGTTAAGTAGGTGAAGTCATTATTTGGGCCTTTTTAAATTCACCATTCTAGTTAATTATGATATACTTAGTTCGTGCCATAGAAATTTGTAATAAGTTTTATTGTTTAATTTCTGTAAAAACAAACAAATTTATAATCACTTGTTTTTGTGTGACATGTCATATACGTTTTCGTTCAAAATTGACATTCAACTATTATATCACATAATCATCACAAGGTGATACTTGGCGAATTAGTTATCCGCATGTCTTAATGTCATAAAGGTCAACTGTGTATATCAAAACAAGCACTACCCTATTTGTGGCGAACTTGTGTCCCTTAATCCTTTTCATCCAATTAGATCATATGCCTAACCTAACATGAATATATGGATTTACTCTTTATGTTTAGGACGCAAACAATATAAAAGCTACATCCCAAGTAACTGAATTATGAAATGCCTCAAGGAGATTATAACTCCCAATGTTCTTGTTTTACTGGTGTTGATTGAGGTTAGTGGCCAGTTTAGAGATGTGAAGCAACTGTTCTATGAAATGCCTGATAAAGATTATGACAAGATAGAGAGTTTTTTTGGTTTGGTTTAGGTTTTATCAAGTTTTATTTGTTGTAACGAGCTAACAAAGACAATAATTCTACTATGATACTTGGAATCACAGTTTTATAACAAGCTAACAAAGACAATGATGCTGCTATATATGAACTTGTACTCATGCATTAAGGATTGTACAAATATTGCTCATGATTTGAGTAAGATTTCTTCTTTGTGCCTATGAATTTGTTGGCTCAAGAGAAGATTTCTCATTTTGGCCACGCAACTACAGTCCCCTGAATTCTCTTATTTTCATCATGCACTGATCTTTGCTGTCAAGAAAGTGTCTAAATTACTATTGTAAAGTTTCCCTTATTTTTAGTAATATAGTTTTTAATTATATGGAAAAGAAAATTATTTCTACCAGATATTGACCATCTAGTTTGCAGGTTCCCATTGATGCTGATAGGTCTGACCAAATCAGTAGACTTTTGTTCCTATTCAACGGTTCAGACTAAAAGAATACTGACTAGGTTTTAGTTTAATCAATGTCAATATTTTCATGGCTGCCTAACTCAAACTTAAAAGTCAACTAATGAGCTCCCATATATTACTTATGTTTGTTCATGTTCTTGTTTAAGTCGACAGGACTCCATTTTCTTTCTTTCCCCACCTACTAAAAGTGTTACTGTGTCATCTTGATCTTACTAAAAACTTAAAAATAAATTGTTGCCGATGATAAATTTCAGGTTATATCCATTTCTAATCTTGATGTTGCTTAGCTTTCAAACCCTTTCAAGAGCACATGAACACCCCCGATCTTACAGTGAAGTACAAGTGGGAGTGATTCTTGACATGAAATCATGGGCAGGGAAGGTCATTTATCGTTGCATCAGCATGGCTATTTCTGACTTTTACGCAGCCAATCCTCACTACACAACAAGAATAGCTTTTACAACCAGGGATACCAAAGGAGAACCACTGCATGCCTTGTCTGCTGGTACTGTCTTTTTATCTTTTTTTTTTTTGGAAAACTTTCAATTTTAAATCTTAATATACTGTTCATGCACATTCAGCTCTGGATCTATTGGAGGACACTAAAGTGCAAGCGATAATAGGTCCCAAATCAACAGTTCTGGAAGACAAAGCTAACATACCGATTCTTTCCTTGTCAACTAGTCCCTTTTCAAATAGGAATCCTAATCTTCTTGGAATCACACAAGATGAAACCAGTCAGTTCAAAGGCATTGCTGCCATGGTAGATTCCTTTAAAGCAAAGAATGTGATTGTTATCTGCGAGGACACTGCAAATGGGAGAGAAATGGCTACTTATATGGCTAGAGCCTTTCAAGAGAAAAACATACACGTTACGTATACTAGCCTAATTTCAACATCTGACAGCAACCAACAAGTCCGGGAAGAGCTTCATAAGCTTCAAACCATGCAAGACACGGTGTTTATAGTGCATGCACCACCTTCTCTAGCATCCAATCTTTTCTCCTTTGCAAAAGATCTGGGCATGATGGGTGAAGGATACATATGGATTGTAACAAGTAAGACTACCAACTACTTGGATTCCATGGATGCTGAAGCAATCGAATCAATGCAGGGGGCTGTGGGTTTCAGATCATATTTTCCATCATCAAAGGAGCTTCACAACTTTTTATTGAAATGGAGAAAGGAACATTATGCTTTGAACCCATTTATGGAGTTCAAGGAGGTAGATTCCAATGGTATATGGGCATATGATGCAGTTTATGCGCTAGCCATGGCTGTTGAGATGGTACAAACTGCAACAGAATTCACTTGGAAAGACCTGGGTAACAATATTGGCACATCACTACTTTTAGACGAGATGTTAAGAGTCAGGTTCCATGGTTTAGGTGGTGAATTCAAGCTTATGAATGGGAGGATCATCTCCAATGCCATGGAAGTTGTGAATGTGATCGGCAAGGGTGATAGGAGGGTTGGGTTTTGGATGATGGCTACTGATGAGTTTCTGAAAGAAATAAAGAAACCAAATTCCTCTTCGAATCAAGGCCTTGAAATTATCATCTGGCCAGGTGGGACTACAAGCATTAATCCGAAGCATAGGAAGCTACAAAGAAATGGAAGAAAGAAGCTCAGAATTCTGTTTCCAGGTTCCAGCAGATTCCAGAATATAGCACAAATAAGTGTTAATCCAAGAACAAATGTATCGGTTTTGAGCGGGTTCTGTGGGGATGTCTTCAATGCTGCGTTTAACTCCTTAGACTATGGAGTCGGCATTGAGGTTGTTTCGTTCTCTTATAAGGATGGAATTACTTACAATGATGTGATCCAAAAAATCTATCTTAAGGTACGTATGTGTCTTTTTGCACAAACCTGCAGCATTAAAAGGCTCTTTGTTATATTTTTTGTAGAACAGCATGGAGATCAGATAAGAGGATTTTAGCTAATGCATGAGATGTGGGGTTGTATCAGGAATATGATGCTGCTATCGGGGATTTTACGATCACAGCAAATAGATCTCTCTATGTCGACTTCACGTTGCCCTTCACTGATCTTGGAGTTGGTATAATAGCCCGAAACGCCAAGGACAGCATGTGGATTTTCTTAGATCCTCTCAGTGCAAATCTTTGGATCACAACTTCTTGTTTCTTTATCTTTTTAGGGTTTGTGATTTGGTTTATCGAACATCGTACAAATGAAGAATTTCAAGGTTCAGCACCACAGCAACTGGGAACAACCCTCTGGTTTGCCTTTTCAACCCTCGTTTATGCTCACAGTAAGCTCTCTAACTCTTTACAATCTAATCTCAATTTACTTAAAGATTTGATCTTTTTGAGCACCCATAAAATCTATACGTTAGATCTGTTGGTAATTGAAAATTACAGGGGAGAAGCTGCAAAGTAATCTATCAAGATTCGTGGTTACTGTTTGGGTTTTCGTAGTGCTTGTTCTCACATCAAGTTACACTGCAACTTTGAGTTCACTTTTAACTGTTCAACAGATTGGGATGAAGGATTTCTCTATCGGATTCTTCCAGGCTATTTCGCCCCTAGGAGGAGTTGTCAATAACAAATTTAATGCTGTTGAGGCCTGGTCAGAGAAACTATATGCACCTGAGGACTATGCTAAAGCATTAGCAACTGGAAAAGTTGAAGCAATCGTTGCTGAGATCCTTTACATCAAATCTTTTCTTGCAATGTATTCGGGTGCTGATTTCTCCTTGATTGCAACAGCACCTACCACCAACGGTTTTGGCTTTGTGAGTTTTTTCTAATCCTTTAAGCTTCTTCCATAACTCTCTCTACCTTGATTACGTTTCCATGCCTCATTCATCTACGTTTGCAGGTGTTCCAGAAAGGTTCACCTTTGGCCACAAAGATGTCGACTCAGATAGCGAAAATGCGTGAAGACGGGACACTGAAAGCATTAGAGGATAAATGGTTGAAACATAAATCTGCAGTGATGTCAATGGAATTTTCTTCCCCGTCACCAAAAATCTTGAATCTTTATGGGCTTCGAGGTCTCTTTATTATCAGTGGTGTGTTGATGGCATTGGCCCTTTTGGTGTCCATGATTCAACTTGTTTGTGAAAAGTGGCATATCAAAGATAAGATTAAGATGTTGAGGTGCATCTTACATAGATCTTCAGAAATACATGCACATGATAGTGATGCGGAATCATCGGTTTGAATTTTCTGTAAAGTTAATTAAATATGAACTACTATACTTAACATCTTGTTTCTACCGTAAGAATCAAAATTATGTCAAATTTATATAGCTTTATTTTGATTTTTGAACTTGGACTGTTACTTATTTTAATTGGACACTGAATATCATAGTTCCATAATTTACAAAGATAAAAGGACCTAATTAAACTCATAGTCCAAGGAAGGGTGGTCATGTGGTGGTTTAGCTAGGTAACTCTCTTTTGACTGACACCTGTCATGGGCTGTTTGTTTCGCTGACACCCTGTTCGTAAGGAATGCCTAGTTGGCATACAATAAACTAAACCGAACCAAGGCTTTAATACCAATTTGTAACATCTTAAAAATCACAACAAATTTAAACTTTTCAAAAACAATCCATTTACTCAAAAAGTGTTTACATAACCATTGTTCCTAAAAAACATTATTTAAAATAAGTCTCCCAAGATACAACAACATAAAACCAATGATGTGTACGGTCACACATTCGCCTTGTCACGGTCCTCAAAAGTACTTGAAACAAAATTGAAACTGTAAGCCAACGCTTAGTGAGTTCTCTCAAATTACCACCACATAATATAACAAACAACAACATGCATACTGAGCCTTCAACATGAATAGACCGCCTCACCGGGCCTTCAGCCTATCTGGATCGTTCTTTGGGCCTTCAGCCTGACTGGATTGCCTCGCATGCCTTCAGTCTATCCGGACAGCCCTGGGTGTCTTGGCCTTCAATATCAGCTGTTCTGCCTTCTAAAAAACCATAACCATAACATATCAATACAAACATTATCACAAGAATTAACAACACACGTAGTCATACTGACTACCAGTCTAATCACATAACCAGTACACACGTAGTCATACTGACTACCAGTCTAATCACATAACCAGTAAACACATATCTCAATATAATAACATACAACAACCAAGATATCTAATCTAATAGGTCGACTTTCGTGCCTTCAACCCGTAAGTACAATGAGGAAAACTCACATCTCAATCCAAATATAGTCTGAATGAATCTCTGCTCCGACAACCGGCTCTACCCGATTCCTAATAATCAAATCATTTCCCAATCTAAATTAATATAAATTTCCCAAAATACCTTTGGTCAAAATCGGTCAAAATCAATGAAATCAGACTAATCAACCCATCCGAGTCAACTCAGCCCTCGTACGCGGGGCGTACTTTGGATGTATGCGGGGCATACTCGTTGTCCAAGGAGTCGGGGCCTGAATTGCATACGCTCAGTGTACCAATTGGTATGCCCATCGTATGCACTAATTCTCCACTTAATGAGTTAAGAGCTTATTACTTAAGCTATCACGACCCAATTACATATCCAAGTCCCAAATATCATCCTTGACCATAAAGTTTCCAACTTTATGGTCTTGCATGGCCAATAAGTGCTAAATTCCAGAAATCCCACCCTCTTAACCTATTAAGACAATCAAACACATGCATGGAAATGGATTAAGAGCCAAGACTTTGTTTTTATGCTTCTAAACCCCTTAAAAAAACTAAAAGGGCAGCTAAAAGGGACTAGAGCATGCCATACTCCAAAAAGGTCAAGACTTGGGACAAAATGCTCATGAATCAAGGACTTAGCAAGATCCCATATCCAAAGCTTCTTCAAGCTTCCAATGTGGTGAAGATCCCATATCTAATGGAATACAAGCCAAATTTGAAACTTTATACCTCTTGGAGGTTGCTAGAGAGGTGAAGATCCCATATCCAAAGCTTCTTCAAGCTTCCAAGGTGGTTCTACTTTCTTCTTTCTCCTTCAAGATCACCAAACACATACACACAAGGGTCAAAAATGCTCAAACAAGTGGCTAGGGTTTGCTAAAATCGAATTGAGGTGTTGGATGCTAATGAGAGATAAGGTTGGAGGCCATAAAGATGTTTAAATAGAGTCCAAACCCTAAACTTTAGGGTTTGAGAACCTAGCATTTACGCGCTGCATACACGGTGTATGTCCAACGTACTAAGCCCTTGCATGTACGCCCAACGTACTAGACCTTGGCTTGAAATTACGAAAATGCCACTATGGGCCATTTTGCAAGCTTTCTCATACACAAGGGCTAAATACCATAAACATTCATACTTAAGGATTAAATTTGGAAATAACTCATCGTCAAGATGTTACATAAGTAAATACATTCTCATGCGTACCAATTGAAAGACCCAATAACTCCTTGTTAAATTTTGGAGATTTTTGTTTTTGCATATCATAGACCTTGTGAAGGATCCATTTAGGGAATTCGATTTTTTCATCACTTTCAGGATGTAGTAATTTGGATTTACTACATTGATGAAAAAAAGATATAGATTTAGTAAAAAGAGAGAAATTAAAAACAGATAATAGATTAAAAGATAAGAACACTTACACAATATACTTTCTGACTTCATCACAACTATGTTTTTTTCTCCTTTAGATTGAGATTTTTCATTTTCCTCGTGCTAGCCGGTCAACATTTAGATTGATACACCCATAACCTTGTTTCTTCTATGAAAACATCATTGTTTCTTTTGAGGCGATTGAATTGAGTCTCAACATCTTCAAGGTACATTGAACAAAATGATAATGTTTCTTCAACAACATAACCCTCAACTATAGAACCTTCCGGCCTTGCCTTGTTTTTGCAATAATTTTTTAGTTTTTTCATATACCTTTCGTAGGGATACATTCATCTCATATATACCAGGCCTCCACAAATAGCTTCATCAGGTAAATGCAAAACTAAATGAATCATAATATCAAAAAATGCAGGAAGATAAATCATTCTAAATTTCACAATATTTTAATAATGGTTGCCTTCGATTCTTTCATATCCTTCACCGATAGTGTTCTCGAGCAAAGTTGCTTAAAAAGCGTTCAAAGCTCTACTATTGGTGTATAAGTACCTTTGGACAAAAGCCTTTTAACACTAATGGGTATCAAACATTGCATAAGAATGTGATAATTATGAGATTTCAACCCAATAATGTTAGTATTATTTTCATTCACTTTCTTACTGATGTTAAAAATTCAAACCCATCCAACAGTTTCACATCTCTTATAAACTCACAAAAACAAATGCGGCCAATTATCATGAACGAGTAAGATGGATATGTTTTAAGGAACTTGTTGCCACTCTTTTTCAACCACTGAATTTTCCGAATATTTAGTTTTGTGAAGTCCGCCCGAGCATTTGATGTGTATTTAGACTTATCATTCATCAGAGAAGTACCCAAAAGACCCTCACAAATATGTTTTTCGATATGCATAAGATCGAAGTTGTGCTTCAGCTCCGGTGCAAACCAATACTCAAGTTCAAAGAATGTGCTCCTTTTAGACCAATTTAACTCGAAATCCTCACAACCTCTCTTAATACCAGCTCTTTGAGAAACTACTTTACTCGGTAGACAGGACAATAGACAATCGTGTTGCACTTGTATTTATTCCTCACTAAACTTTCTTGGAGGTTCTCTTGCCATTATAGTCCAAATTTTTTTCTCCATGGATGGTCAACATCTAAGAACCGATGATGACTAACATATACGACTTTATTTGATACTCAGTATGAGGAAGTGTCTTTGTTGCATGTTGGACAAGCTCTGTACCCTTGTCCGCTCCAACCTGATAAACTACTACGAGTTGGAAAGTCATTAATTATCCATAACAACATCGCTTTCATATTGAAGAATGTACCTATAACTGCGTCTTTAGCACATACACCAAAACCCCACAACTGCTTCAACTCATCCACCAACGAGCTAAGGCCCACATCCAAGTCCTTCCTAGGTGCTTTGGACCGGGAATCTCCAAGGTCAACATGAAGGAGGACGATTCCATGCATATCCATGGTGGAAGATTGTAAGTGGTGAGTATGGCGAGCCATGTGCTATGAGGATTACACATGTTACCAAATAGATTAAGAGCATCAGCAACAAGCCCAAATCGTACGTTTGGGGGTTCCATCGATAAGTTAGGATACTTCATATCAAAATTTCCATGAAGTACCATCAATAGGATTAAGCATCGTACCATCTTTGGATCGTCTGGTACAGTGCCAAATCATATCTTTAGTTGTGTGTCTAGAATAGTACAAATACTACAGTCTTGGGGTCACAGGAAAGTATCGTAACACCTTATGAGCCACCTTCTTACCGTTTGTATATTCATCAACCCACCGACTCTCATTACAAACTGGACACTTTTCAAACAACTCGTGTTCTTTCAAAGAAAAGACAATAGTCATTGTTACATATGTACTTCGACTCATAACCCAAGCCAATCTTTTTAAGTGTCTTTTTTGCTTCATAATGTGATAGGGGGGGGGGGGCATGTTTCCTTGAGGACATCCAGTTTGCAACATCTCAAGAAGTTGATCGAATGAGCTATTAGTCCATTTGTTAATCACCTTGATATGCATAAGCTTTGCCAAAAAGTCAAGGGACGAAAACAAACATCCAATATATAATTTTAATTGGACTTCCTCTAACAGCTTTTGAAATCCATCATCGATACCGCACCCTCTATATTTGGGTTCCTTTTGTCGCGGTTGGTATCGTTTTCAATCATACACCCTATAACACCAGCAATAACATCGGCCATATCGTTACTATGCGGTATGTCTTCTACAACCGAATGAACCATATTTTCTCCATGATACTTCCATATATAATATAATGTGGAATAAAACCACGTTGAAGTATATGGAATTTCATTATGGCTAGTACTCTAAATTTATTAACATTACATTTGTTACACGAAGATCTGATTTGACATTTGTTATCGATGTGTGCTTTGGACCTCTCAAGAAAAGATTCGAGTCATTGTTAGAACATGGTAGAGTTATGGTTTTCAATATTAGTCTAGGTTTTATCAATAGACATGTTGCAACTAAAACATAAGTTAGGTTTTAGTGTTTACTCTACAAGAACTAACAATAGGATTGGATATTTATGAGGATAGATTAACCGCTAAATCGGTTGGAA